GTACAGGTGTGTATGTGAACATGTACAGGTGTGTATGTGAACATGTACAGGTGTGTATGTGAACATGTACAGGTGTGTATGTGAACATGTACAGGTGTGTATGTGAACATGTGCAGGTGTGTATGTGAACATGTACAGGTGTGTTTGTGAACATGTGCAGGTGTGTATGTGAACATGTACAGGTGTGTTTGTGAACATGTACAGGTGTGTATGTGAACATGTACAGGTGTGTTTGCAGTCAGAGGCTCTCCGTCAGATGAAAGYACTCGTCTCCAACATGAAAGTGTTGGTTTGTTTGGAAGCAGCAGATCTTCATCTGGTCCTCCTGACCACAGCAGCTGCTGATTACAGACAAACTCTGAGGCTCTGAAGTCTGAAGTTCACAGAGGACACACCAGCCTCGTCTCCACTTCCTGCTCACCTCGTCTGTGATTGGCCACCACCAGGAAGCTGTGGTTCTGGATCTGAAAGGCCTCCCAGTCCTGGGCTGCGTGAGTCTCCAGAGTCTGGTACCGAAGGAACCGCCGCAGCCGCTGGTTCCAGCGGTAGATGACTGACAGCTCAGGCTCCGCCCTCCTGATGTCAGCGACCACCAGGAAGTTCTGGAGAAGAGAATCTGTTTAAAACTGGTCAGAACAGCTAACGTGCTCAGATGTTCTGGTTCTGACCAAAGTTCTACAGATCATCTTCCTGCTCTGATGGTCCAGTGCTCCTGTAGAACCTGCAGAGGTTCTGACAGAACCAGTTGTTGGGTTCTGGACTCTCACCTTGTTCTTGATGGTGAAGTGTTTCCAGGCCCGGGCCTGCTGGGTGCTGATGTTCTGGTACAGCTGGAAGGACCTGTTGGTCCATCTGTAGATAGCTGAGCCGGGTCCAGAGTCCCTGCAGGTCCAGGGTGAACAGTTGTTACCATGCAGACACCCGGTCCACAGAACCTGCGGGGTGTCTGGTACCTGTTAGCTGCAGCCATGAAGAGGCCTTCAGACGGGATGGAGAAGATCTCCACATCGAAGGTCTCAGAGAGCGTGTACAGGTCCTGATAGTCCTCCAGGTAGTCCAGACGGTCCTTTTCTGCAGAGAAGGTTCTGGTCTTTTAGTCAGAGCTGCAGGGACACCATGAAGACCTCATGTCCATCTATGGACTCACTCTGTAGCAGTGTCCTCCACATCAGACCGTCACAGATGGACAGGCCTTTCCTCAGACTGTCCAACCACAGCTGACCCAGTTCTGGTTCTGAACACCGAGGACGGTCCCCAGCAGTGACTCTGGCTTCAGCCTCTGGGACAACAAGAACAGCCAAAACACATGGATCATACAGCTGAAGTAACACATGGACATCCTGATGGGACTCTGCCCCGAGTCTTTTTGACTTCCTGTCCCTGTGTCTTCCTGACTTCCTGTCCCTGTGTCTTCCTGACTTCCTGTCCCTGTGTCTTCCTGACTTCCTGTCCCCGAGTCTTCCTGACTTCCTGTCCCCGAGTCTTCCTGACTTCCTGTCCCAGGTCTTCCTGACTTCCTGTCCCAGGTCTTCCTGACTTCCTGTCCCCGAGTCTTCCTGACTTCCTGTCCCAGGTCTTTTTGACTTCCTGTCTCAGGTTCTTCCTGACTTCCTGTCCCCGAGTCTTCCTGACTTCCTGTCCCAGGTCTTTTTGACATCCTGTCCCAGGTCTTTCTGACTTCCTGTCCCAGGTCTTCTCTGAAGGCCAGGTGTGTCTGAGGAGATCAAAGTCTTCAGGAAGACGAGACGTCTCTGTCAGAACCCTCAGGTCCGGTCCGTCAGCTGCAGCTGATCTATAAATCAAAGATCTCAGACTGATTTATATCAACTCTGAGTCAGAAAGAGTCGGATCGGATCAGCGCCGATCAGCTGAAGCTTATTCATCACCATCATCATCATCATCATCATCATCATCACCATCATCATCACATCATCATCACATCATCATTATCATCATCATCACCATCATCATCATCATCACCATCATCACCATCATCATCATCATCATCACCATCATCATCACATCATCATCACATCATCATTATCACCATCACCATCATCATCACCATCATCATCATCATCATCATCACCACCATCATCATCATCACCACCATCACCATCATCATCATCACCACCATCATCATCATCACCACCATCACCATCATCATCATCACCACCATCATCATCATCACCACCACCATCATCATCATCATCATCATCATCACCACCATCATCATCAACATCACCACCATCATCATCAACATCACCACCATCATCATCATCATCACCACCATCATCATCATCATCATCACCACATCACCATCATCATCATCATCATCACCATCATCATCATCATCACCACCATCATCATCATCATCATCATCATCATCATCATCACCATCATCATCTTCATCAC